CATCCGACTCGGGCTGCCACTGCCTGAGGTCGGAGTCGGTGCCCAGGGTCTGGGTGGCACCGGGGCTTGGTAGCTGGGGAACGCCCGGGGGTCCGGGGTCCACGCGCCTCTGTTTGGAGGTCGGGGAACAGCCTGCGGTCGGGGAGGGGCGCGGAGACTGCGCCTGGGATCCGGGATGTGGGACCGTGCCTGGGCGGGGAGGGCGGCCATCTGGGCTGCGGTTGCCTCTGCCTGGGGTCGGAGATGTCACCTGGGCTTTGGGGTCCGGCGCACCTGGGGTCTCGGTGTCGTGCCTGAAAGTGGGCAGTCGTGGCTGTGGTCGGGATGGGGGGTAAAAGCATGGGGTCTGGAGGATGACACCTGAGGTCTGGGAAACGCTCCTGGCCCCGGAGCGGGCAGGCGGCCGTCTGGGATCATCTGGAGTCCGAGTGGCAGTCGCGCATTGGGATGGGGATGGGGATGGGGGTGGGCTGTGCCTGGAGGGCCCATGCCTGGGGTTGAGGGTCGTGCCTGCAATCGGTGAACCATGCCCGGGATCGGAGGAATGCGCCTGTGCTGGGGACGAGGCGGGCGGGGGCGGTCATCTGGACTCGCAGTGAGGGGCTGCACCTGGGGTCCGGGATGGGGGGCTGCACCTGAGGTCGGAAATGGCACCTGGGCTTGTGGGCCGGGGGCGCGCCTGGAGATGCAGTGTCGCGCCTGTGGTCGCAATGGGGGGGCTGTGCATGGGTTCTGGGGGATCGCGCCTGAGATCCGGGAAACGCGCCTCGGCTCACGATGGGGGAGGGCGGCTGTCTGGGGCCATCTGGACTCGAAATGGGGGTCGCACCTGGGATCGTGTTGCCTTGGGCCCACGGGTCAGGCCAACCCTCGCCCCTGCCCCAACCCACGAGTCTCCGGCTGCCTGCTGGCGGCGGCGGCGGCGGCGGAAGCGACCTGCAACACTGTTTGTCTTTTTAGGTATCTAAAGGAGTTTAGGACAGAGCAGTGCTCCCTGTTTGTGCAGCACAAGTGCACCCAGCACAGGCCATTTACCTGTTTCCATTGGCATTTCCTAAATCAGCGTCGGCGCAGACCGCTCCGCAGGCGCGACGGCACCTTCAACTACAGCCCAGACGTGTACTGCTCCAAGTACGACGAGGCCAGCGTGTGCCCC